CTAGTTAACAAAAGAGGAGAACTCAAAACAGAGTTACCAACCATGAGTAAATGTGTCTTACGTAACGCCGAAAATCCATAAGCTCAGACTATTGCAATCTTTTATCTGCGATGTTTGTGTCTTTGCATACATAAATATCAAAAACTCCGAGAATTCATAAACTCAGGCTATTATCGGCGAAAGTCTTTTACATAAATGTAAACCTTAATTATTTCTTACGATTATTTAGACATTATTAATTTTGATAGACTGTGAATTGGACCTTAATTTTGAGTAGGGCAAACAATAATACATACTGTATTGAGGTATGGCGCGATCGAATTTTATTTGACAAAGTGTTAAATTTAATAAGGTTTGGGAAATACGTGTATTTTGCATTTGTTCTGGAATTTGATTTTGATACTTTATTGTTTACTTAGAGAATAAGATTTTTTTCGGAATCTACATATTTAGTCGGACGTTCGGACGTGCATAAAAAAGGAATCTTTGTGCATAACATAACGGAAGTGCCAAAAATGTTCATTTCGCTCTTCACCGACCATTCTTTGACATCATCTTTGACATCATCCGCTTTAAGACAATATTAAATAATATTTAGAGTTTTTTTATATAAAATTCATATTTACATGTATTTAAGAACAATCTTTTTAGATATCGATATTGTTACACGAAGATTGATTAAAACTGTGTATAGCGATAGCGATGGGATTTCCCCTATCAATGCACGTCTTCGAAAGCGAAAATCATTGTTACTGATTGCTGGTTGATTTTTGCCGAAGATTGTATTTTAAATTATCGACAATATACATATAACATAATTCTCATATAAAAATCGTATCATGAAAAACTTGTTTATTTGCAATCCCTTCAATAAATAATAATTACAATTTTACTATGATATTGCTGATTGATGTTAACAAATCTGAAAAAAGGCAGGTGAATGATTTGGTTACAGTCAGAAGAGAACGTATATATTTAACCAATAACAATAACGATAATATTATAGAAAAGAACTTTCTTAATAATACTGTATTACTAATCAAATTTTGGATTTATTTCTTAGTTAAGAAGTTGATAGAATTTTTAACATAAAATGTAAGAGTTCATGCACTATAATTAATTATTATAAATGTATATATATAACTTGTTTTTACAAACAATACTTTTATAAAGAGAAAAAGATATAATCAAATTCTCTATAATCACACTTGTTTATAATTATATTCCTCTATAGTCATCCTATTTTGCTTTCCCATTTATATAAACATAGTAAAAAAAATGTCTCTATAGTCACATCCTCTCTATAATCATCCAATTTTGCTTTTTCAAGAATGGTAACTATAAAAAGATTTGATTATATATATTTATCTGTTCTTTTTATTACTTTATAACTTGTTTTGATTCAAAGATATCTTACTTTCATATAACAAATACTTCTCTATATGGATGAGTTATATGTGAATTAAATTTTGAATTTACTTTCATCCTATTCTCATCAATTTTAAAATTCAGAATCACAATCAAAATTTTGGTCACCAATCAGAGAAAGTCACGTGAAATAAATTAAGAGATAGATCACGTGATATCAGTTTTTAAATGTTATTTCATTGTCGTAGATAAAAAAATTTCGACAATCTCGGCAAACATTAGTAAATTTCAATAATACAGTGAATAGGAACAAAGAAAAAAGAATTTTACGAATGTTTTCTCAGTCATACAGTGCAAGACATCTTAAACCAGCAAATTTTCAAAATTATTCACACAAAAATTAATGTAGTTAGAAAACAATTTTTAATCGTAAAAATACATGTATATAAAAAGCATAAATAGAATAAAGTTACGACAAACTGTTTGTTAATTGGTTAAATTTTAACAAAGTTGAATCGTTTTAAAGTGCCAATTTTACTAGTAAAATTTGCTGGTTTAAGTGGCTTGCACTGTACGTAATTCGTTCTGATCACTGTTTTCGCCTAATCTACTTGGATCTGTGCCAGGGCTGATATTGGTTATTCGCGAAATTGAGAAGCAGAATGTGGTAGTATTGTAAAAGGTTGGCTATAGCAAGTATCTCATTGAGTCCAGTTATTCTATGATAACGGGAATTGATTACACAACATTTTAATGATGTGAAGGTGTAAGACCTGAAGTCACGTAGCTTATTTCAACATTCGTCGGGAACTTCTACAAATGGAAGATGATGAGATATCCCGACAACAATTTTAATACGACCAGTATTGGAGATTTGAATAAAAACTTTTACATTTGCATTAATATAATTATTATGGTGCATACCATCTAAAGGCATCAAACGGTTTATTTTATAAAATGGATAAACTTCTTAGTGGTGGATACAAATTTAACCCGTAAATATGCCTATTCTATCGTATTTACGGATTAAATGTTGTATTTACTTCTTGGTAAAGAAGTTTACCCATTTTATAAAATACAAACGTTTGATGACTTTAGATGGTATGCACCATAGCTGTTCGAAACACTTCGTGTAAGAAGCATGTAATTGATATGGACTTAGAAACTTTGCTAACACGTGTATTACATTTTGTTATTGTGGGTGGTGGAAGTTATAATTATTGCTGTTGTCATTAGATAGCAAGCGAGAAGTGTCACAATAACTACAATCGATATCCGAAGTTTCAGGTTCGAAAGGTATATTAATATCGATATTATTATTATGATTGTAAATAATTAAAATTTCAAAGTGATAGGTCGAAATCATTATCGATGTTGTCTTCTTATCTGGAATCGAAAACTTAGTTATAGGCGTATGTTCAAAAATTGAGTGAAATTTATTATATATCGATATTGTACTTGGTATACATGTATATTATTTTATTAGAATAAACGAGTCTTCGAATGAGATGGTTGTTTGTGGTAGTACTTCAGCTTGAGTTTCCGTCCACCTTAGAGAGTGGTACTTTCGGTATCGTTTTAACCGTTGTTTAATAATTTGCTGACAGTGGTGAGTTCGCCGGTCTTAGGGTCGATACAAGGCACATCTATATTAAAAAACGCAAATTTAATTTTTATAAACCATAATATACAATAATAATACGTAAGCAACTTACCCCTAAATAACCCATCTGCTGTACTAATCGGGTTTAATTCGATTGTTGGCAACGATACTGCAATATTTAGTGTAAATAAGATTACGACGAACAATGTGAGAAAAATGAATCTTTGTGTATTCATTTTTAATCTTCGGAAAAGTAATATTTTGATTACTTGACGGATTAGAAGAGTAAGAGATGTCACTTTTATACTTGTGAGTGCAACTTGTTGAAATGTGCGAAGAAAATCATATATATAATGATACTTCACAAAGTTTTTGTGCATAACGCAAAGATTCCCATCATATTTTACGGGAAAAACTGCATGTGGGCTATGGCTAGAGCAGAATTTACCATTTAGCAACAACATTTTCCTTAACAGGGTAAAATCAAATTAAGTTCATGCTAACTAAATATTAATATGACGCAAGGAGTTAACATTAAATGTTTCACTTCTAAACCAGATACGTGTATTGGTATGACGTATCACAATACTTTTAGTTTATACATAGAGATAGCGGTAGTACATGTACATAATGTAATGTGTTTATATAAGTATACCGATACAGCATTTTTTGCTTTCCCTAAATTTTCAGCATTTAAATCGGGAATCTTCAACTAGGTATATTTTTTGATATAGACTCTGCCCTGGAAAGAACAGCTTTGGACTACTCTTTCGCTTTTTGCCCACAATTCTTTTTAGCTTTTGGATTAAAATTTTAGTTGTTGGAATTGAATCTTGCAGAGAAATTTTCTATATACAGTAACTAGTTACTTGATCTATGGATTTCACATCTTAAATTTGTCAATTACATGTACATTATTAATCGATAGATAATACGTATATTCGTTTTTCAACATCGACCTTAACGTTAATGCTGGTCAAATTTTGCATGATCGACATAAACTTTACTCCACTATGTATCTCGAAGTTCACTGTGTACCCTTGAATTAATTTACCTTTTCCGCAAAAGTCCTTTTGATTGTCATTTCTAGTTTACAATCAACAAACGCTGCATTAATGTTATTTGTTTGTTTTTATGTAGTACATAATTTTGTTGTTGTTTCTATTCGTGGATATTGTATGAAACATACGTACATATCTGGTATAACGATCTTTATCAGCGAAGTCTTTTAAAACTTTAACACGGAAATAATGCACACCGACACAACATGCATGCACATTTACGCGGACAATATGTTCACTGAAATCTAATCTTTAAAATAATATGTGTAACACGATGTCGGCGTCTTCGGATAAATACACTAAAATTTTGCTTTCTATCTATCACACTAAAAATAGACTGCTACCGAAATAACGTACATGAATACGGAACAACATTCACTCATAATAAACCGTTTATAATGAGGCGATGCAGGATGTTTGGATCCATATTTGTGTCAGAAAAGAGTGAAATTATATATCGCTTTTTTTTGGTCGAATGATACACTTCTAAAAGTATATGTGGCTTGGTAAAAGCATGACTGACGTATATTTATTATTGATGTTATCACATTACATGTAATTAACACCCTCCAATTTCTTTCCCTCTATGATTATTATTATTATTATTAACGTTGGTAGGGTAGTGTTGGAGAAGTGAAGGAAAAAAAATTCTTTGTAAAATATTTGTTTTTTATGCTCGTTTTGTAAATCTGCATTATTCTCCTTATACATAGAATAATATTTGTTAAACTCTGTATATATGTGTGCTGTGATTTTTCTTACAAATAAAAGAGCTTATTATTAGACTGCGCATTACAACATTTCTATATATCAATATATAGATATATTCTAAAAAGAAGACGGAAAAACGAAACAAGGATTACCCCTTGTAAATTTCATTATTTATTATCCAACGGATCTCTCTTCTTTTCTTGTCTTTATTCAAAACACTCCGTTGAACGGATCATCATCATATTTAAAATAAAAAAATGGGTTGTTGTTCAAGTAAAAATTCGGCTTTCGACAAAAAGGACGAGAACGAGAAACAATACCAACAACAAACAGAACAAATAACACCCTCATCACCTAAACCTTCAAGCCGTCACGTGAGTCTACGTCGTAATGGCACCAAACTACGAAAAGCAAAAAATGTTGAATCAGATCCACTAGAAGATGAAGACAATCATTTAGCGAAATATTTCAAAAGAACGTCATCGTCCAAAATATCACGAAAAGCCTCTAATCCACTTCAAATACTCAAAACGAGAAAAAGTAAAAGTATCACGAGCATCAAATCAAATTCTATTCATGATGATACTCCATCATACCAACATCAACAATACCAATTTGAACATGATGAAAAAGATACATTATCAGTTAATTTTAATTATTTTATCGATTATGACAAATTCTCTCAGATTTCCGGGCGAAATGTGGAGAGCAAAAGAGCAACGATAAGTGACGTAAATGAAACAACCACAGATGTTTATTCATATTCCAAAAAATCGAAACAACATTCGATAACACATGATGATTGTGAAGGATACAGTGCAAGTGTTGCAAGTCGGAATAGTCATCGATCTAACAACAACAACAACAAAATGATGACACACACACCACTTCGTCAAACAGCAACACAGATCGATGATGATGATGATGCACTTTATAGTGCCGACGAAGAAACACAAACACAACAACTAACTCCAAAACGACGACCATCCGCGAGATTTTTACAACGAAAAGGGACACTGAATAGACACGCAAAATTATATGAACAAAGAGATTACAGAAAATCATTCCCTCAACAATCAACTACGTTGGAACATTACTTAGCATACAATCAAGAATGTGATAATAAACGACGTAGCATGGGAAATAAGGCATCTCAAGATAGCATTAGTAATTCATTTATGCAATCGATCGTGACAATTAATCGACAATTCGAAGTTCTAAGTGAAAACTTGGAGCAGCCGATCAGTGAAGAAGGATCTTTGGATGATGATGATGATGAGGATGATGATGATGTTGAATATGAAGATAATCTGCAACATCGTTCAATATCGCAAACGCCGACAGGATGGGATGAGAATGTTTCCAGCACCATGACAACAACGATTGATCAATCACAGAATACAAGTATGCGAATCAAAGGGAAATCCGCATTACATCAATCAACTGATAGTTACAGAAGCTTTAACTCTTCCACCGATGATAAACAACAGTCAGAAACGCGACCAAAGGTACAATTGCGATTATCAGCCGAACAAGTTGCTCTGTTGGAGAAAGCAGACGAACAATTTGCCAATGATTTACTGAATTCTAATCTCAATGGGGCGCATACGCAAGACGATTTTGTGCAAGTTCAATCTCCAACCTGGTCAATGGCAATTAGTGATGATGATACCGAGAATATTCAATTCTGTCATGGTCAATTGGAAAAATTAATGCCAGTTGAAGCGATTCTCACTCCCGTACACAACATTAAGCGACTGAGCAGACGTGCAAGTAATGGAAAAAAATTAAACTTGAGTGATCCAAAAATTCGAGAAACTCTAATTTCATTAAATGAAGACACGGACCAATCGACATTTAGTATTTCTGTTTCATCGTCCAGTAAAAAACCAGAAATTAAAATTGAATTACCAACAGTTGATTTAACGAAATCACTGGATTCCGATGACCATAAAAACAATAATAAATCTCGAAATCCAGAAATAAGACCAAAAACAATTTACGGAACAAAACTTAGTAATTATGGTGAAAGTAGTAATTCACATCAAACCGCAACCGTCACTAGCGCTACCACCACCACCGCCACCACCACCACCACCAACACCAACAATAATAGCAACAACAAAAACAACAACAATAATAATATATGTAATAATAATCAACTGGAAATAACAGTTCTACGTGCATCACAGATAAAAAGATTCAGTGCTGGTAACGAAAGACCATTATCACCAAACTTTGAGAGATTTATTTCATTCGATGTAAATGGAGTCAAACGAGTGACATCAGTTGCTACAGACAATCAAATACCACATCGGGAATCAATATCAAGTACTCGTCACAGTATACGAAGTAAGCGAAGATCAACACACAGTGATGATGAAATTGATGATTATTTAGATCTTGGTAATTGTCAGCAATGTCGTCGTCCAAACACTGGTGTCGAATGGTGCAAAAATTGCAATGCGAAACATTTTGCTGATGATTTCTCAAAGTGGGATAGTGGTGTGGATGAAGTTAATGGTTTCATAAAGTCAACGCAATTGTCTGCTGAAAATTCAATGCGAATTATCGAATGGATTTCTTTCGACCGGTTTATTAATATCGAGAATATCGGAAATGGTGGTTATAGTATAGTAGATAAAGCTACTTTGATCGGTGGGCGAATACGTGCATGGGATCATGACTATAAACGATGGTCACGATATGGAAATCATGTTGTTGTGCTTAAAAGGCTTTTGAATTTGAAACGAATGACTTTGACTTTTCTTAGTGAGGTAAATTATAACAATTACATTTGTATCGAATTTTATCTTTCCAAAGCTAATCTCCCTCTACCACCACCTCTATATAATTATCCAGTTAAAAATGCAATGGAATATTGTATCATCAGACATGCCAACTTGGTTTGGAATTACGCGTGATCCAACAACACAAGATTTCATTCTCGTGATAGAATATATTGACGGAAATCTACACAGCTACCTGCAAAAATCATTTTCACAAATCACGTGGACATCTAAGGTAGAAATACTTCACGACCTCACTTGGATCCTCTGGACAATTCATGAATCAGGGATCGTACACCAAGACTTGCATAGTAGCAATATTCTTTGGGAATCAGGCTCGCCGAAAATAAGCGATCTGGGCCTATCGCATTTCATTAGATCATCGCAAAATCAAGTTTATGGAGTGCTTCCTTATGTCCCGCCAGAAGTGCTTTTAGGTGATCAGTGGTTCAAAGCTTCCGATGTATACAGCTTTGCAGGAATAATGTACGAATTAGCAACCAACAAATTACCGTTCTCAGAGTGTGCACATGACTTCACACTCGCACAAAAAATTTGCGATGGATTACGACCCGATATTCCAGACGACGTACCAGATTGTTATGCAACACTCTTGCGGAAATGTTGGGACACAAATGTCGAAAATCGACCGACTGCTCGAGAGTTAATACACGCGTTTACGGAATGGTTGGAAGAAGGAAATTTGTCTTTTGCTAAACAATTTGAAAATGCGGAGAGATTGAGAGTGAATGCTATGCTGGTCGGTGATAAAATTGAACAACATCCAAAAGCGATTTATACCAGCAGACCTTTACCTGTCGTTTCGGAATCCGGAGAAAAACTTGAAAAGTGTTCGGATGATACTCGAATTTCCGCACCAATCACACTTACAAAGTCTACGGACGCTACAAATCGTAAGTATCAATATAACCTCTTATTCAAATCCATTTTGAAATTTTTATATTTTTATATTTATTAATTTTACGCAATTTATTAATTACTTAGAAGAGACACAGCAGCAACCACAAATACAAATACAAACTCAATCTTCTCCATCCGATAAAACCTCTGTATCTCGTCTTTCAGATCCTGACATCGTCTGCTGACGTGTGCACACGGAAAATTTAACTTATGTCTTAAAAAATATAAATGATATCGTTTAAAAGTTGCTGAGTATTTAAAACATAATAGAGTTTGTATAATACTAAATTATAATTAAACCACTTTTTTTGTACATTTTTCTTTTCCTTTATAGATGATAAATTACATTTCTCATAATAATAAGCAAAAAAAAAATAATTTAACGTTAAACTAACGCTTGATAATAATTTATCGTCACCGTTATAATAAAAATTTGAAATTTCATTCCAAAAATGAACATTTGTAAATAAGTATCGATCGTTTCCCCTTTTAAAAAGTTATCGTTATGTAGATAACGATAAGATAGACTTTGTTTTATTTCCAATAACGATAATGATAAGTTTTTAATTCAATAATCGTCAAAGTCTAGGCCTTTTCCGAATATATAGCAAAATTATCAACAATCGAGACGAGATCGACAATATCTTTTCCACATCGTAACGATCATAACAAACACCACCAAAATCACAATAACCACGATAAACGCAATCAATATCGCAATAACCTTTTCCGGCATCTCGATCTTTCCTCTAGGACCAAACGAAACCAAAATTCGAAAACTAGTCACCACTGTATTTCTTTCCAATAATGCATCACCAATCGACAAAACCACCATTGTATCAGTAGCAGCTTTTCTTGGTGGAATTCCACTAAATTTACGTAATCCCTGATCAAAATTTACCCATGTTGATGTACTTTCCGGAGTATAGTTCTGTATGCTGAATAAAAGATGTGATAGATCTCTATCAGGTGATAAAGTGAAATATGTTGGCAGGTAACATTCGAATGGGACACTGTAGTATGTTTGAATATCTGGAAATGGTGTGGCAATTTCTATGATTGGAAGTGATGAGTTGGTATTAAGCGTTTTATTGGATTGGATGTTTTGATTGTTGAGATGGGCAAACAGTTTTGCAGGAAAAAGATTAGGTATTGGAAGCATTTTTTACTCAAAATTTTACGAATGGTATTTTAAATATCGATATCTATTATATGGACAAGAACTCTCCATATTGACATTGATTATTTGATTAATCAGTCTGATTGATATTTAATTATTTCAAATCCGCTTTACCATAGCAAAAATTGTTCATTTTCAATTGAAACGTCGAGTTTAATGCAGATTTTCTTTTCACAAAACAGTTGTAAAGTGACAAACCTCTGATACGATAGCTATTTTAAATGATAACAAAATCTCTCAAAAAGAAATAAGCCAAGTTATTTTTACACTTGAAAAAAAATAATTTTATAATGCTTACAATTCATTAGACTTAGTCCAGTCCCATATACTTTTAATTGCACAATACCCCTTGTATCAGACACTGCTCGGTTCAAAATAGGATAGAACTATAAGATAGAGTTAAAACTTCGAGATCTTTGCAGGATTCAAAAAAAATTTTTCCAGTTTCTAACATCCATTTAAAGAATCCATATTACGTTTGGAGTTGACTACAGTATGTCCAATAAAGTCAAATGACCAACGACAATCCATTGGTCTCGCAGTCCGACAATAAATACGTAGTCTTTTCTTGATCATATTCACAGATTTTATTCCCGTTACTAATTGATCTATATAAAACAAAAATGTTGAGAGATCATATCTAATTTTTTTATTTGACAATAAGTGATTTATATATTTATATTAATATATTGAATGCAAAACTCATCTTCGAAAAAAATTAATTTTGGTGTGTTTTTACTGGCTTGAAATTTTCAATTTTCATATATATAGAGCGTGGAAAATTTTTTTTATATATAAAGTGAGAGAAAATTTTTTCACTTTCCAATCAAAACTGTCCTTGCATTTTAAATTGCCACAAGTCTTGTATTATTTTTTCAAAAATACAATCAATTAGCTTAAAATGATAGAAATAATTACGTATTAGCTCGAAAGTTTACATTTTTTATGTTTTATTATATAACTTTGGACCGGGCGATATCTTTGGGATGCTGTACTTATTAGTTAAGAAGTTTAATGAATTTATAAAACACAATCTATTGATAGTATACTGACATGACAGATTTTGTCATTATAGTTAGAATGTCATTATAACGAGATATTTCAATATGTCCTCGTTAAACTATCGTGCTATATCTTGCGTTGTCATCGTTGTCGTAAAAAAAACCACGGAACGTGACCAAGATATCACGTACCCATGACCTATACGTGATAATTTGCAGTGATTCAGTACATGTATAACGAAGGTCACTTAGCATTAACGTGAAATCTGTAAAAATAGATACATGTATGGAACATAAAATCATGGAGTGTGATACTAAAATTAAATTATGTGTTATGATCATAAAAATTGTAAATAATTAAGTTTCAAGTTTAAAAAGTAAGACAACAGTTTATTGACAACAGGCTATGAGATAATGAGACTTTCTCTAATTTTACAAATAACACATAATAAAAGTGTTCACGATAAAAACGGTCATAATAAAATGAGCTCATCAGTGGTGGTGATTGTCATTGGCCCAGCCCTTACTCCTATTCATACCCCTATTTTAATTTGAGCACTGGTGACCGGTGAGCTTCTAAATAAATGAATTTGATCAATAAATTATAAAATTATTATTATATTCAAGTTATATAAAGATATATCGATAATCCAGATTTCTAGTATAACAAAAGTGTTGGGTACATATAATCATAATAAGCAATGTGTATAAACTGAAATAATATCTTACGAGCACAACTTCTTTATCGAAGACCAAGAAAATGATAAGCAATATATATATACTGTTTAGCACTGTATAATACCCAGGGTCTTATTCAAAAATTGTAGTTAATAAATTGAATAGCACCCGTGGGTATTGTGTATGAAACCAGGTATTATATTTAAAGTGATATATTATAGAGGGTATTACGTTTATGGGCATATTGTATAGAGAATTTTGTATCGCATCTACATAGTCAAGTCATGTTTTTATAGATTTTGATATAGTGAATTAGTATTTAAAATAAATCAATATAATGGATTTTTTAAATTTCTTCTACCATACTATAAAGAGAGTTCCAAAACAGAGTAAACATAATATAACGATAAAACAATTTAATAACGAATAATATTACTTTATTTTAAATACATATATCAATCGCTCAAGTTTGATGATAATGGTAGCACATTACGTATTTTAAATACAGTGCAGTATATGTACATGTATATCCGGGTACTAATCATTTTTGGTAAAAATCCACTTTAAAAAGGATCCGGGTACTATTCAAGTTTGGATATTCAATACAGGTTCATCATCGTTACGTTTTTGGCGTTGTCCCATGACTGCTGCACACGTACTACCTGTACTATCAAGGATTTAGGAATCACAAAACGAAAATGCTGTAACCTTAATTTTTAAGATTTTAAGAGCTATGACTGTGATTGTTATGTTAGTTATACAAATCTTGAATGTAAAATGTAATCATAATAAAAGTACGAGTATTTTTTATACATGTATCTGAATATTAATGATAACTCTAAATACATGTATGTTGCATGATTATCCAGAAGCTGACAATGCCAAGGTAATGATTCAAATAATCTTTTTTGGCGCACTCCGTTATGCTATGCACAAAAGCTCCTTTTATCGTGCAGTTCTTGACGAAATGTGTAAGATCCGAATAGAATCTTAATCTCTAAGTAAACAATAAAGTAAAGAAAAGCACAATATTTCCCAAACTTTATTAAATTTAGCATTCATTAAATATTTTTTTCACATATGGGGTGAAGTCAATAGAAAAGGGACAAATTACTCTAATAGATTTTTCATCGATATGTTCTAATAAATTTATTATGCGCTACACAAATTTCTTACAGTCTATTCTCGATATAACGACCGCTTGATATAACGATGATTAAGTAAAATCGCGTTATAGTGAACCAAAATTTTACAGAAACATAGTAATTTCAATGAACATTTTAAAATTTTCTCTTATGTGACTTTGGTTTGTAAATAAAGTTCAAGTTTACATATGTACGTAAAATACAAAGAGTATCTTTATAACCCCGGCGTTTTGACACTTTTTATGTCGGATATACATACATATATGGTAATTTTTTCCGATATTTAAGATTTATCGGATAGATTATGCGCCAAAGAAAATTTCTGTTTATGGAATATTAAATAAAATCGAACTACGTATATATATCTTAAAGACATCGCGAAAAAGAGACAGAAAGCAATAAATTGTTCTTTCACTTGAATAGTATTATCTTCAAATTGTTAAATACAATGGCAATATTACTCGCGTACTCAGAATTAATAACAACTATTTGCGTCATATTTAGTGTTTACGTAGCAAGATACTATTATCATTATTTTACTCGTCTATCGCCTTTACCAGGACCTCTTCCAATCCCATTATTCGGTAACCTTCTTCAGATGGGCACTAATCCAGCAAAGTTTCTAATTCGAATGCAAGAGAAATATGGCGATATATTTGAATTATATGCAGGATCAGAACGAAACATTTATCTTTGCCGTGCAGATCTTGTAGAGAAAATGATGCATCCTTCTAAAGACACTAATTTTTTTAATAGAGTATGTTGATATCTCGAAATTTGCTTATAAATTGCTCTAAATTAAATTTATTCCTTTTTAACATGTATGTAACTCATGCCTTGATTATGTATTAGGGTTCTCAAAATAAGGGACTAACCGACTTGGGTTTTCAAAATCACGGAATTGCTTTCAACATAGATGTTAACTCATGGCGTTTTTATAGAAGAACCTTCACACATGCGGTGACTTCGCAAGCATTTCTGCATGAGTATCTCAATGAAACTAAAGGTTTGTTTCAAGAAGCAGAAACTTACTGGAATAAGTTTGATGCTGGCACAGTATTTGATTTCGCGGATTGGATGCCGCGTTTCACTACTGATCTTTTATTAAAAGCCACAGCCGGAAAAAAGTTTTACGCTTTAGCAATGTACTATAATTCAATCGCGCCAAAGGATAGACAGCTTAATCTTGAAGGAGTCCCTATAATTGAATCAGAAGATTTCGTCACCAAAGCAAACATGTGGGTATGGATAATACAATACTTTTATTTTGTTCCACATGCAGTAAGACATTATGTTCCTGTATTGCGTCAATACACTAAAAAGTATATGAATGATATAAAAGAGTTTAATAAAAGCTTTAATAAAATTATTGCCAATCGACGACAAGAGATTGAGAATTCACCAATCAAAACACCGTTACAGAATGATTTTCTGACAACATTATTAATAATGAATACAATACGAGATGAAAATTGTAAATCTGAAGATATAAAAGATTTGAGACCTTTAACAGATGATGAAATAAGAGAGAATCTTCTTGAAGTTATAATTGGTGGAACTCAAACAGTAAGTATTAAGATAACTATTATCTGAAATAATGAAAAATTAACCAATTAAATACTAAAGAAACATATTTTATGTATGCAGTCTGCGCAAACTTTCTGTCATATAGTTTACTATATTTGCGAAAATCCAGCAGTAAAAGCGCGTCTACTTCAAGAAATCAATCAAATTATTGGCAATGATTATTCGCAAATCACATACGATATGCTCGCAAAACTCGAATATACCGAGGTAATAATTAAAGAAGTGCAAAGAATTTCAAATGTAGCATCAATAGTTTTTAAGGAAATGTCAAATGACGACGAAGTTGCAGGTTATAAATTTAAAGCCGGCACATTGATGATTGCACATATTGCTGGAATACATATGCATAAATCACACTGGCAAGATCCTGAAAAATTTATCCCGGAACGTTTTTTGAAGGGAAAAGATGCTATTGAAAAGAATAGCTTTATACCATTCGGTGGTGGCGTAAGGTTGTGTCCGGGAAGATTTGTGGCTATGGCTGCACTTAAAGTGTTGACGGTGTCGTTGTTTGGAAAGTATGAAGTTGAATTAGTGCATCCAAATCAACCAGTAAAAACTATTTTTAAAGTTGGTAATGCCGTCAAGGAAATGAAAGTTTATCTTACACCTAAAGTAACATCTGTAATTTAAATCTTTAGTGTACCAAAAACGGATATATATTCCAAGATAGTGATTGATATTTGAGGTGTTTTTATGTATACATATTGTTTTAAAATTATTAAATTCAAACAATGAGGGTATCTATACCGATACTATGCGTGATGCATGTATGC